TAGACGAAACGTACCGACGCCTCTTCAATGGCGAACCTCCTTGGATGACGCGTATGTGGGTCGATAGGTGGTGTTTGCCTCTTGTTTCTTTCCACGGCCTTGGAAACAACGATGCCATGGTACACGTGGGAGATACTTTTAAGAACATGACGGAACCTGTATTCTGGAGGCAGCTGGGGAAGATATATGGTGCGCCGGACTTCTCGTCGTTCATCGCCGAACCGATTCGTCCTAATGTCGATTACGTTGGGCGACTCGACGAATTTAGTACGACGGTGGACAAGATCACGGAAGTCGATCAGTGTGTCAAGATCTGCCACGAACACCCAGTCGGGTGCCTCGCTTGGACGTTCGACCCAGGCCGACAGCAGTGTCACTTCGCTCGTTGGGCAATCCTAGGAGATCATGCCGAGGGGCGATTTTCAGGCATAAACGGAAAACTAGCCGAGAAGCTAGAACACTCATGCCACTCTCCACGATAAAAGTTTTTACGTCTCTACATTTCATTTTTCAGGTTTTATTCTGTATATATAGGTATACATGAGGCGGGTATGATACATGCGGGTTGTCTTATTCGGCAAAGAAATGCTGGTCGAACGGACGACGTTCAAGACTTCGCACAGGGGGAAAGCACATGAATTGGAACGATACCCGGGACGGACTGTAATTTGTAATGGATCGTAGATGAGCACCATAATCCTAATAGGACTAAACAGCCTTCCCACGCATGTTTAGGTGATATCCGTGAAGTTCTCCGGTGACGCTGCTGGCTGTATCACACGCCGTAGCACTGCTGGATATATGTTTCCCCTTACTTAATGCGCATGACTTTGGATACTACTAATGAATGATGAATGTGGATTGAGAATGCAATGCGACGCTGCACGCTACTTAAATATGAGACATTCATATATTCCGACGACACTCCAACACTCGTTCATTGATATTGATTATCAAACTCAATTCATCCTATTCCTAGGTAGCAAAGCTAATTGTTAATGCACGCGTAAATAAAAAAAAAAAAGCTCAGCTAGGTCACAGACTCACAGGTACTGGTACCTACCTGCGATGTCATCTCAGGGCTCTCTATCCGGTATAGGAAGGTGGTGTGGTAGCCTAAACATCGAAATCACAGGTTGGCAGGTTGGGCACGCAATTTTAGACCGATTCAGATCGCGCTAATCAGCAGGCCAAGGAAGCTAAGCCAACCCACACCAGGACCCCATTAGAATCATCCATCTTAAAGTCTTAAGGGTATTAGTCTAGCTGTAAGGAGCCGATGACGTGTGGGGAAGTTTATTTTTTTGACGTCAAATTCAAAAGCGGTGCAGCTTCCTACTCTACCTTCTAACCTACGTAGTAAACTTTAGTTTGGTCTCCATTACGCATTTAATCCGACAACCGCCGACGCAGCACTTCAGCTCAAAGGAAACCAAGTTTAAACCGAATCTTGTTTCAGTTTTTGTGATACCAACCCCAACACTTTTCCGTTTCTTCCGAAAACAAGAAGCAACGAGAAACACGAGTAGCTTTGTTTACCCGCTCTGACGCTCCGCCCTACAGCCTACAGCCTACACCGTACAGAGTGCACGCGACCCAAACATTGGGACAGCCCATCGATCTATCGAATAAAACAACTCGTATTCTTAGATCCTTAGATCTAGATCTCCCCTGTGGAACTTTCCCCGCCAAGATAATAAGATAAATTATCATCTTGCCGGTCCTGTGGCTCGGATCTGGTCAATTTTCACCCAACGACACTTGGAAAACTACTGCACTCTGCAGCTTTCGGGCTTCAAGTTGGGGGGTCTGGCCGACCACAACCACACACACACACACTTCAGGGTATCATCCGAACCCCACGGTGTCCGAGAATCTGTGAACCTGTAGGCGATTAGTTAGAGACGTCATCATGTCCGAAGCTACACCAAGCTCCCAAGCCACTGGTTCTAGTTGGACCGCTTTCCTCAAAGTTAGTTGATAGTGAACAATTATCTCACAAACCTCTTGTCTTGCTTCTCGCTGACAACGCATTCTTTTCATCAGTCTATCGCATCTTTCAATGGCGATCTCTCATCTCTGACGGCCCCGCCCTTTATCCTCTCCTCCACGAGTCTCACAGAATTCAGCTCATACTGGGCCGAGCATCCCAGCGTCTTCGCCGCCCCCGCCAGCGAGCCCGACCCCGCTAAGAGGGCTTTGCTAGTGCTGAAATGGTTTTTGACTACCCTCAAGCAGCAATACGCAAGCAGAAGTGAACAATACGGTAATGAGAAGAAGCCCCTCAACCCCTTCTTGGGTGAATTATTCTTAGGCAAGTGGGAGGACAGCGCTGGCACAACCGAATTGGTCAGCGAACAGGTGAAGTGCGTCTAGCGAAACTAAACAAGGTACCCATATAGATAAACATCGTTATTGACTAGTACCTTAGCCACCACCCACCAGCCACCGCTTACAGCATCACCAACATCCCATCCAAAGTCCACCTCCAAGGGTATAATGCTCAGAAGGCGAGCTTTTCCAAGACCATCAACATCAAGCAGATAGGACATGCCGTACTCACAGTTCCTGACCCCTCCAACCCCGAAAAGGAAGATACCTTCTTGATTACGCTTCCATCTCTTCATGTCGAGGGATTGATCTTCGGCGCGCCCTTCATCGAGCTCGACAGCGCATCGTATATCACCTCATCGTCGGGATACACCGCCAAGATCGATTACAGCGGTAAGGGCTGGCTAAGCGGGAAGAAGAATTCGTTCACGGCAACTCTATACCCCACGGGTAAGGAAAAGGAAGTGATCTACAACTGCTCTGGTCAGTGGACGAAAGCTTTCGAGATTTATTCCGGGCCAGTGAAGAACAATTCCCCGAAAACCCTCCTCGAAAGCTGGGATCCCACCAACACCCCCATCACCGAGCTTATCGTTGCCCCTCCTGAGAAGCAGCACCCCCTCGAGTCTCGACGCGCATGGGCCAATGTCGCCTCAGGCATTGCCAAGGGAGACATGGATTACGTCGGGAAAGAGAAGGCCAAGATCGAACAAGCGCAGCGTGAGATGCGAAAGAAGGAACAAAGTGAGGGTCGTGAATGGGAGCGCAGATATTTTTCCGCCATAACCGATCCGGATGCTACTCTTGAGGCATTGGCTGCGAATGTTGGGTTAAGTGCGAACGGCGATGCGGATAAGACGGGGGGTCTATGGCGCTTTGATGCCGCCAAAGCCGAGAAAGTCAAGGGCCAGGAGCTGACGCAAGACGAAATTACTCAGCTGGCTCATGATCTACTTGGCCAGTAAATCATTGTCAACATCTATATACAACAGCGTTCGGAATAATGGTATAGGTGTATAGTGGTCTCCGAGATTCGTCTGTGGACAAGATGAGTAATATCGTGAGGGGAAATATGGCGTGGGAGTTGGAAGGGCGCCTGGTGGCTCTTTGGGTTGGCTATCGTGTGTGTGCATAGCAATGGTTTGAGAAGCACAGTGTAATAAAGCGAATCGCTCGTTAATGATGGTGATTTCCGGTGAATGATGGATGATGTGCAAGTGATTGGGTCATACCAGTCTCCGTGAAACTATTCTAAATGTACAACAGGATGAGCTTATACTATGTATTCCTGTGTGCGGCGTGAAAAAATGGGTCTCCCTCGAGCCTCGTCCTCAATATACCGAAAACATCCGAGATGCAATGACAAGACCAGAGACCTTTTCGAAAAGTTGGAAAGGGGAGCCATAATGACGCGCCAACATCATTCGTTCCGTGTTATACTAGCAAGGCACAAACTTACTTCTTCGCTCCCTTACTGCATGCAGATTTAACGGGACTCTAGCTAGAGAGTACGATCCTCCCCTGGATGCGTTTGAATTAGCACCAACACATGATTCAATCTGGCATACGAAGTTTACCTGAAGCACTCCCTCCCGTGGTCCGACCCTTTGTGCAATATCGCCAACTTTGCAACGCGCACCTAGATGATCAACCAGGTTAGATCTTGACAATCCGAAAAATGATGATCATGATTTTATTAAGCTGAGGTTACGAGGGAGGGAGAAGATGAATGATGTGTAATTTACCTAGCACTTGGCTGGAGATATACCCCCTTATTAGGATCTTTCGACGAGAATATATTCTTCCATGTTATCCGACAATGAGACGATGTATAAATCTCTCTTCATCTACCTCTCTCTCTGATTTACCAAACCTACTCAGGACCAAGCTGATCCCTCACCTACTACCAAAACACCACGCAGCTCGTCAGTTTACCAGCAAGCGTCAACACCAAAGTCTCTTTCCACCTGCCTATCTTAATCCTGATCCTGATCCTGATCGAACACCACCACCACCAACAATACCAACAACGATGAAATTCACCACCACACCCCTCCTCCTCGCCGCCGCGGCTCTCACCAGCCTCGTCTCGGCCGTCCCCGAGCCGGCGCACCTGAACCAGCGGTACGTGCGGGACCAGTGCCGCGAGGATGGGGGCACGTGGGACTCGTGCGAGTACCCGGACTACTACCTCAAGTGCAACAAGGGCAGCCCCAGCCTGTACACCTGCGACGGCGGCTGCCAGGCCTCCGGTTGCGACTGGAACAACGCCGCATGCACCCCCGTCCCCAAGTGCGATAACCCTAAGCCGTGCGCTTTCCCTCCTAACTAAGATGGTGGCGTTGGGTTGTTAGCGAGGATGATGGAGAGAAGATGGGGAGCATACCTACATTCTACGATTTAATTCGGCTGGATTTAATTTATTTGACGCGTGATTGATAATCAGATTTGAATTACATTGAGGCAGTCGCGATTTTCTCATTAATTATGACAGGATCCTTCATATTCCGCCTACTAATTATCCGAACTGTACTATCACCTACGTAATCAATTAATCAATCCTTTTCAATCAAGCGAACTTGTATAATATGAAAAAGCAAAGAAAAAAGAAAAGAAACAATTGTAACGAGAAACACTGATAATCGTAAATAATTGATGCAAAAAAGCTGTGGACGAGCAGGGAGTCGAACCCTGGACTTCTCGCAAACTTCAATCCGTTAGCGATTCCTAACATCATGCAAAGCGAGCACTCTACCACTGAGTTACACGCCCTTAACTAATTTGGATGACTTGTTCATGGATATTGTTAAATCAACAGTCCTTTTCTATGTACTAAACAAAGACTAACCTTATCCAGCCCTTGCACGAATATTACATCCATAGGTGTCGCACCGGGGAATTTTCTCTTTCTATCTACTCGTGGAAATTCCAAAGGTCCTCCGAACACAATGTGCACATTTCTCTGTCTCGGATCGCGAATTCAAATCGTTGAGTCGCGCAGTCAAGATCATCGAGCGCCAAGTCTTTCCTAAGTCCTCTTAAGCCGTTCGCTCCTTCAGCTTCGGGGCAGCCACTAAGAATGTTTCGGTAACAAATCGGCTATCTCCTGATAGGCCGATAACTGAACCTTAAGGCTTAGGTCAGGTTTCTATACGGACTTGAACTCATCCGCTCCCTATCTCTCCTTCTCCCTCTCACATATATAGCCAAACTTACCTAGATCCTAGGTATATTAAGTATATGGAACCCTCCATCGAATTACATAATATTTCTTCAAAACGTGTGAAGCACTTCTCGTGAGATCTTGCATGTCATGTCAAGTAGGAGACCTGTGTACCCGATAAGATATTTACTTAAACCAACCGTTCTCTACCATCAATTATAAACTAAGGGTGTCTCCTATTACCTACTTCTTTCCATCTCATTCATATAGACCATATGAACTCATAAAAGATCCCATCATAATGGCCCCTCACAACATCCAAGATGAAGGCCCTGCGGACCTCGAAAACGAGCCTGCGGGGACCGAAGTTCGACCCCCAACGCCACCCCCTCTCTCCGCCAGACCGCCGCGCATCCTCATTATCGGCGCCGGTTCTCGGGGGCGCGTCTACGGCCGGTGCACCCTGCAATCCAGCAACGGCGTCATCGCCACTGTCTGCGAGCCAGACGTCTATAAGCGGGAAGAGTATGTCCGCACCTTTATCTGGTCCGATGCAAAGCACCCGGCGCCTGAGGGCTCGAGTTTTGCGGACTGGCGCGAGTTCATCGAGTGGGAGATCCGGCGGCGCCAGCGAGAAGCTGCGGGGGAGGACGTGCCAGAGGGCGTGGACGCCGCATTCGTATGTGTTCGCGACGAGATGCACCACGATGTCGTGGTTGCCCTCGCGCCGCTGGATCTGCATATCATGTGCGAAAAACCTCTAGCCACGACGCTGGACGATTGCGTGGGCATCTACCGAGCGATAGCCCCCTTGCAACCGACGAAGGTGTTCTCAGTTGGCCATGTGCTACGGTACTCCCCACATAACATCATGTTACGCAAACTGCTCCTGGAAGACCGCGCGATCGGCGAAATCCTAAGCATCGTGCACACGGAGCCCGTGGGGTTCTGGCACTTCGCGCACTCGTACGTGCGCGGGAACTGGCGCAAGGAATCGACGACCGCGCCGTCCCTCCTAACCAAGAGCTGCCACGACATCGACATCATCATGTGGCTGCTCTGCTCGCCGACGCACCCGGAGTCGGACACGGCGCCGCACATCCCGACCGAGGTCTCGTCGACGGGGTCGCTGCAGTTCTTCAAGCGCAGCCGGAAGCCCAAGGCGGCGGGCGACGCGACCAACTGCCTGCGGTGCGCCGCGGAGCCGTCGTGCATGTACTCGAGCAAGCGCGTGTACGAGAGCACGCGGCACCAGGGCCTCGAGACGGGCAACATCCGCTGGCCGATGAGCGTCGTGCTGCCGGACATCGAGAGCTTCGGGGGCGACGTCGAGGCCGCGCGGCCCAAGCTGCGCGCCGTGCTCGCCGAGGACTACACGCCCGCGACCCCGCAGGCGGACATCGACGCGCGCAACTGGTTCGGCCGGTGCGTGTTCGAGTCCGACAACGACGTGTGCGATGAGCAGACCGTGACGATACGATGGGACGAGGAACCGCTGGCGCGCGAGGAGGCGGGGTATGCGGATGCGGTGGGACATAGGGGCGCGAAACAGGCTACTTTCCATATGATCGCGCAGACGAAGCGCCAGTGCCATCGCTTCACGTACGTGTACGGCACGACGGGCGAGATATACGCCGACTCGCGGACGATCACCGTCGAGGATTTCCAGACCGGGACGCAGCGGTCGTACTATCCCAAGTTGGAGAGTCTGGGACATGGGGGTGGCGATCACGGGATCACGAGGAACTTCATATTGGCGGTGGATAGGGTCAAGAATCACGGGTGGGAGGCCCCGAGGGCGCAGAGGGAGTTCATCGGGTGTAGTCTGGAGGAGATCATTAGGAGCCATGCCATGGTGTTCGCGGCGGAGGAGGCGAGAACGGGCAGGAAGTATGTCGATTGGAAGGCTTGGTGGGATGAGAAGGTCGGCGCTATATGATATGTCACGAGGGGCGATATTTATGTCTTTGCGCTTTCCTTGACGATTATTTTAGGTATCTAAGCCTGGCTGCTTGCATGGGATTATGCGAGATGAATACTGGGAGAAGTATCTACTGTTCTGATATTTGGTTTGGCGTTGTTAATTAGGTAGGTAGGTGGGCTCGTGTGGATGGTGGTAGGTTGGGGAGCATCACGATATCGCACAATCATCACGTCCCTTGATTGCGGCAATGAGGATATACAGAACTTAATGATTCAATTCGTTACCTATGAAGAAAATCGTATCATTTCGAGCCTACAGGATAACCTTAGCGGCTTGAATTATCATAACCCGCGTATCTCGTTTTGTGTTTTAGTGTGTGGCGCTCATTGCGCTACCGTCCGGTTCTCATCCGTGTCGATCAAGGACATTGCTTTTTGTGAAGTCTGATAGATCGGAAATGACTGAACTTTTATCTCGAACCTTTACTTTCTCGGAGTATTCGTCTTGCGACCTTGCTGTAGTGACTGGAAATAATCATTTAACCCCTTCTCCTTCCGCTGCTGTACTGCCAGTGCTTGTGCTGTGTCGCCTGCTTCACGATGCCACGCTTCTAGAGTTTGCATATTCTCAAATATTTGGATTTCGTTGAATCCGCGACCGGCCTCGGCTGCGTCGATGGCTCTCTGCAAGGCATACCGGGCTAGCGCGTGTCTCGGATGATGTCCCGCCACGGAGTCATCTGGACCACATCGGTTCCGATGGAAGTGGGCAATGACACGCCACGATACCCAGTATTTCCAATCGACCTGATTCGATTTTTCATCTACGAGCTGAAGAGATGACCAAGCTAGCTGAGCCGAATGTTCGTCGTAGGGTCCATGTTGCCAGAGATATCCTGCCGACCCGATTAATCTTATTATACTTGGACAGGCCTGCTTCACTTGAGAGGGCGTCGAGCTGCAAGCTACTACCCTCTGGAGGTTTGGTAAATCAGTTCTTGACGAACTGAAGAGAATTAAGTCTCCCAATAGGAAGAAACTGATGGAGGGCGCCACAGTCCGTGCGAAGTCTTTCGTGTCCAGCAACATGCCGATTATGCTCTCCATGCAGTTGAAGATGAAATCTACCGCAATTTCTAATGAATCTTTGCGGAATATCTCATCTAGAGCTGCGAACAGCTTGTATAGGGTACTCGCTGACCCCAATGTTACTTCCGCATACCCCGCGAGATACTTCCATAATTCCTTAATAAGACCATGGTCAGGAGATATAACACTGGCTACTAGCAGGTCGAACAGACCGAGAGCGGAAGGCGTTTTAATAATAAGGTGCAATGACGAAAAGGCACGCTGGCTTAGTAAAGCGCCATGAGAGTTGTGGCTCTTCTTGAAGAACCAGCAGGCACGGCCAAAGTCCCTCGTAGCCTCGCACAATTCGCCATCAAAATAAAGATGAAAATCATGCTCGAAAGATTGTGGCGCCACAGCAGATTCATTCCAGCTCAGAGTGAGGTCCTTAAAGCACGATAAGAGAACATTCTGTGCGTGGAGATGAGAAGGAAGAGACATGTGGTGAGGCTCGCCTGGGGGAGGGGTGAGCGCTCTTAGGTAATCCGGCAAATCGGCATTCGCAACAGGCATTGCAAGATCAGAACTCGAAATACCTTTCCGCTTCATGTAGGTTTCGATGTCAACAGACCTCCCGTGGCGACGAAAAGTTGTGGTCTTGCCAACGGCACCTCGCTCGCGCTGCAGTCGCAGCATCATCGCCACATCCTTTTGCTTATTGTTTTTAACAAAACCCCATTGCGCAAATTTGGCCTTGTACATACGGGGTCTGTCGCAAGTTAGCATGCGACCTTATAGCAAACCGTTCCGCACTACGAATACTAACGTAGCTTCGATGCCTTTCTTTTCCATGAGTTCCATCAACTCAACTAGCGACTTATTTTGTTCGATGTATAGTTCATGGATCTCTTCTTTATGGTGTTCCCATACCTCCGATGAGAGGTAATGGCGCTTCGTGGCCTTCTCCCTACGTACTAGTCCCGGGGATAGAGGTGCGGCGCTTCCTGTCGATCTGGGAGTTTGATACTCATTTTGAGTGGAATTTTCTCGGTCCTCCCGTGTTACTCTCGGACTGCTAGAGGGTAACGGTGATAGATTTGAATCATGGTTGTAGGCTGCCGTCCCTGACCGCACAGTATCAAGCGAGGATCTCTCTGAGGGGACTGGAGAGCGGTCGACCGCTACATCGTACTGATATAGGCTAGATAACGGCCTTGGTCTCTCAGTCTTCAGACTATATTCTGGAAAAATGAAGTCGTTGATGTCAATAACGCCACCTTGGTCCTCTACTAACTCATAGGAATAATTAAAATCCAGTTGGCAATTCCAACTCGGCCCCGTCGTTGGGGAGTGAACACAAGTCGGCGTATGACACATCAAGGCGTCGTGTTTTGACAATATCAATCGGCGATTCTCGATGGATAGATAGATTACATGTTGTGTTTTGTGTTCATAGATGTAGTCAGACGATATTACTTGAAAAAAAAAGTTGACGAGTGGGCTGTGTTAGCGAGGAATAGTAAGCTGTTAATTTTAGATCGTAGTTTTTTGCGAAGTTGACACCACGATAGATTGTTGAGTAATGTGTCGCTTGGCAAACACATGGATAATTGATCTT